ATTTAAATGGGTCTTTATGGATGAATCATAAAAAGCTAGCATCCAAATTCAGTGAGTACTAGGGAATGCAAATACATTGTACCCTTTATTTCAAAGTATAAAAACAGAGAAGTCTTGCTAAAACTATACAAGGCATTAATCAGACTACAGCTGACATACTGAACAGTTTTGGTCGCTTTATCCAAAGAAAGATATACTGACGTTGGAGGCAGTCCAGACAGGTTTCTCTAAGTTGATCTCAGGTGTAGAAGCATTTTCTTATAAGGAAAGGAGGAGGAGACTGGGCTTGTACTCATTGGGGCTTAGAAGAATGAGAGGTGACGTGAATGAAACATTTAAGATTCTTAGGGATCTTGACGGGTAGATGTTCCTCTTGTGAGACAGTCTAAGACCAGAGGGCATAACCTCAGAAAGAGGGGTCACCTATTTAAGACAGATAAGGAGGAGGATTTCTTTCCCTCTCAGAGATTAGTGCATTTTTGAAATTATTTAAAACATTTGCCTGTAGAGACTGGGTCGTTGAGTACATTCAAGGTTAAGATAGATTTTTAATCAATAAAGGAATCAAGGATTATGGGCATAAGGCAGAAGAGTGGAATTGAGAATTATTAGATTATTTTTATTAGAATTACATGATTGGACTGAATGGCAGAGCAGACTTGATGAGCCAAATAGCCCATTTCTACTCATATATCTTATCATCTCAGTCTGAGATTATCCACTTTGGATAAGAAGAACAGAGTGTTGAAAGACTGGGGAATGTTGATATCCAAGGGGGCTTGGCTTTTCTTGGATACTGAAGATTAACATACAAGCAGAACAAGCTGTTAGGAGCTTTATCACAAGGGGATTTGAGTACAAGAGTAAAGGTGTCTTGTTTCAATTGTATACAACCTTGGTGAGACCACAACTGTATGCAGCTTTGATTCCCTAACCTAATGAAGGCTATACATGCCATTGAGGAAGCACAGCAGTGTCACCAAAATGATTCCTGAGATGATGGGGCTATCCTGTAAGGAGCCTGGGCCTGAATTTTCTGGAATTTAGAAGAATGAGAAACAACCTCATAGAAACTTACAAAATTCTTAAAGGGATACGCAGTGAATATATAAAGATTGTTTTCTCTAACTGTGGGAATGCAATCTTAGAATAAGTGGCAATCCATTTACGACTGAGATGAGGAGGAATTACTTCACGCAAAGGGTAATAAATTTTTGGAAAGTTCAATCATTGAGTATATTCAAGGTAGTGATCAATACATTTTTAGATACTAAGGTCATCAAGACATATGGGAGGAGCTTTAGAAAATAATATTGAGTTGGATGATCAGTGATGGTCTGGAATAGCAGAGCAGGATTGAGGGGCTGAATGGCCAACTCCTGCTCCTATGTTGTATACAGACATATATCTGCATACCTACACAGACGTAAATGTTTATATATAAAATACACGTAAACATACCATAGATCTGCATACACACAAACGTAAACAGATAAAGTAAATGGTTCCACTTCAAAAATCAAATCATTGAATGTGAATTGTGTTCACACACCTCAGATGTGGTATTGTATGTATTTTTAATCAACCCGTTCAGAGATGTGATGACACATTTCTGGAGCAGGTAGAACTCCTGGCCTAGAGTTACGGGCATTATTCCATTATTATAGTCTTTTCTATTTTGCACTTCACTGAGTACTGAACAGTTTTATAGAGAGTAATGGTGCCCTCTAATGCCTGATTGCAAGAGTGACATAATGCTTTGAACATTTTATTCTCCACCTGGAAAGAATTCTCAGTAGTATTGTAGCAGCAGCCAAATGCAGATCATTCTTTGGAGATAGAACTGTGTATTTTCATGACGTTATAATAAATGGATAATTAAAGTTTCATTCCATTGATTGGTTTAATTCCTGGAATGGTTGTTTGAAAGAAAAAACTCCTTTATATGGGACAAGACGGCTGCTGAGAGTATCTAACCTATCAGAGAGGCTAAAACCCTGATGTGGATCAACAGTAGATATGTTTGGGCAGATCCTTTGCAGAACTTCATAATTTCTGCTGTTTGAACTATCTGGAAAAAGCCTCATCAATGGTAACTACCATGAAATGAAACACATTGAAACCTATATTGCAATAAAGAGCACGAAAAAGCAACTAACTGCCCACTTTTTGTTTCAATGGCATCTCAGTGGCTTTGACAATGGGAGAACAAAACTTCTTCTTCAGGACGGATTATCAATTGTATACCAACAGCCAGCTGTCCAGCAATCAAATCCACGCCTGGAAAGAACTAACATTATAAGCTTGTCTATTTGTTACAAAAAAGGCATTAACTTCAAAAAAGCCAGCAGGGTAGAACAATCCATTGAATTCAATTAATAAATCTGTAACAAAAATCTAGGCTAATGGAGGCCATAAAATTATCATTGATTGTTGTAAAAGCCCAAATGGTTCATTACTGTCCTGTTGGGAAAAAATTTACTAGCCGTACCTAGCCTGGTCTACATGTGACTCCACACAGGAATGTGGTGGACACTCAAATACTCTCTGCAATGGCCTTGCAAGCTACTCAGTTGCTACAAAGTCTAAGAATGAAATCAGACAGACCACCCAGGATCCACCTTGCACTGGAAACAGCAACCCTACAAAGTCCTCCTCACTGATATCTGGGGGTTTGTGCCAGGATCGGGAAAAATGACTCACAGGCTAGTAAAGCAACTGCCTGGCAACTTCCACAGGGACCGTTCCCTCCGGGACACCCTGGTCCACACCTCCTTCACCCCCAACACCTCCCCACAGCCCTACGGCACCTTCCCCTGTAACCGGCGAAGGTGCAACACCTGCCCGTTTACCTCCTCCCTCCCCAGTATCCAAAGGCCCAAACATGGGACGGCACGGTGGCTCAGTGGTTAGCACTGCCTCACAGCACCAGCGACCCGGGTTTGATTCCAGCCTCGGGCGATTGTCTGTGTGGAGTTTGCTCATTCTCCCCGTGCCTGTGTGGGTTTCCTCCAGGTGCTCCGGTTTCCTCCCACAGTCCAAAGATGTGCAGGGTAGGTGGATTGGCCATGCTAAATTGCCCATAGTGCCCAGGGATGTTTAGGTTAGGTGGGTTAGACATGGGGAAATCAGGGGTAGGATAATGGGTCTGGGTGGAATACTCTTCGGAGGGGCGGTGTGGACTTGATGGGCCAAATGGCTGCTTCCACACTGTAGGGACTCTATTAAAAAAATGTCTTCCAGGTGAAGCAACACTTCACCTGCACTTCCCAGAATCTAGTCTACTGCATTTGCTGCTCACAATGTGGTCTCCTCTACATTGGGGAAGCGTAGACTTGGCGACCGCTTTGCAGAACATCTATGTTCTGCTCGCAAAAAAGACCCTGAACTACCTGTTGCCTGCCACTTTAACGCACCACCCTGTTCCCTGGCCAACATCTCTGTCTCTGGCTTGCTGCAGTGTTCCAGTGAAGCCCAACGTGAGCTGGAGGAACAACGGCCTCATTTTCCGCTTGGGGACCCTACATCCCTCTGGACTCAATACTGAGTTCAATAATTTTAGGGCCTAAACTCTCCCATGTCCCAGTCCCCTATCCCACACGCCAGGCCTTGTTATCACATAGCCTGCCATTACACACCCCCTGTTGTTAGTCACTAACAGTCCCCATTAACAACTACTCACTCTCCCAGCCTGATCGTTAGCAACTCCTTTGTCTGTCCAACTGTGTTTCTCTCTCTTTGGGCTCTATCCTATCGTTTACTCCCTACCCCACCCACCTCCCTATTTTCTGCATATAAACTGACGTTTTCCCAGCCACTATCAGTTCTGAGGAAAGGTCACCGGACCCGAAACGTTAACTCTGTTTTTTCCTTCACAGATGCTGCCAGACCTGCTGAGCTTTTCCAGCAACTTTGTTTTTGTGTCTGGCATAGTTATGCTCACAAATTCATACCTTACAGGCAAAATCTCAGACACAATTTCATCACTTCTGGTTACCTCCTGTTCCACCAGCTGTCCAAACCCACAGAACAGGCAGCACATTGATATTCAGTCAGGATGGAGTTGCCCCAAGAATCCTTAACATTGATGCCACATTCCATGAAGTCTCATAGCATTAGGTTAAACATGGGGAAGGAAACTTTCTGCTAATTATCACCTACATTCCCCATTCCTGAGTTTGTGGGAGGTCATGAAGGAACCAACAAGATAATGCTCTGGGGACCTGGGTTTGAATCCCGCCACAGCAGATGGTGAAATTTGAATTCAATAAAAATACCTGGAATTAAGAATCTAATGATGACCATGAATCCATTATCGATTGTTGGAAAAACCCATCTGGTTCACTCATGTCATTTAGGGAAGGAAACTACCTTCCTTACGTGGTCTGACCTACATGTGACTGTAGACCCATAGCAATGTGGTTGACTTTTAATTGCTCTCTGGGCAATTAGGGATGGGCAATTAATGCTGCCTAGCCAGCGATGCTGTCATCTTGTGAATGAATAAAGAAAAAAAAATGGAAAAACCTACTTGTCCTCATCCTCACCTACCAACCTGTCGCTGATGCATTTATCCATAACTATTGGTAATAGTAACATTGTACAGTCCTTGTGAAAACAATGTCCCACCTTCACATTGAAGATACCCTCCGTCACATTTTGTGGTATTACAACCATCCAGGTGTGATGTGCCAAAATGTTAAAGCACTGGGTAAGGAGGGTGAACTAGCTCCTCTTCCCTTGTGTATAGCTTTCTCCCAGACCCATATGAACATAAGTTTTAAAAGGAACCAATTTAATCAGTTTTTCTTGAATTAATGAAAGGAGCGAGTTTATTCATTACTAAATGCAAAAGAATTAGTAATGCAACACACATACTCACAAATTAGAAACAAGAAGCAAGTCCAAAAGGACAAAAGAAAACAAAAAAGTGATATACTAATCTAACTGGTTGTGAAGAGCAGATAGTTGAAATGTTGCAGGCACTGAAACGAGTTTACCTGTATTGCTGATACTGGTGACTTTGTGATCCTTAGATTTGTTGTGATTCGATTGTTCTAATATCTTTTGAGCATGATTGAAATTTAGCACTCATGGTGAGAGAGAGTCCTGTTTCCTCTTTTAACTTGTTTGCCGCACTTGGAGTGAGTGAAGATCTTTACCTGCAATACAGGATTGACAATTGGTTTTCCTTCGACTGTGACTTTCACGAAGAGTATTCCTTATGTTTCATTGCAGAATGGTTACAACACAGGAGGATCATTTAGCCCACTATGTCCATGCTACTCCCTCCAAAATCAAATCAACTATGTCTGATCAGCCTTTGCATTCTGTTTGTAATTCTGCTTTGATTGTGTCAACATCACAAACTAATATTTGCATTCCACCATCATTTAGAATTAACTACACCAAGCTTAGCCTGCTGAAAAGGAATGAAATAAAATGACCTGATAATTAACATATTTAAATAGAAGTAAACTGAATTTGGGTCTTGAAGATTTCAAGTGATGAGCTGTGATTTTGAGTGATGGTAGCATGTTCTACTGTGGATTGTCCGTGGGAAAGATTATTGATACACTTTCTTAGAAACAAGTGGTCTTTGTTGTTTGGGTGGATGACAACCTTGTGTTTTGTCATTGCTGGAGGGCACTAGGTCTGTCAATTCCCACTAGTCTGGTCCATATTTTATAGAACATGGTCAGTCTATTTTTATTCCCTTTTGCCCTGAAATGCTTTGCCCTTCAGGTGTTGATCCAATTTTCTTTTGAAAAATATAATTGAATTCATCTCTGCCTGCCACTGTTTTCCAGATCCTAGTCATATGTAACAATATTTTCTCACATTTCTGTTGTCTCTTGGCTATTTACCATATACTGACGTCTTCTAGAACTCAACATCTCCACCAATGTGAACAGTTTGTCCCTCTCTGCTCTATCTCAACACTCATGACTTTGAACACCTTTATTAGAACTCCTCACAACATTTGCGTCTCGAACAGGAATAAGCCTAGCTTCTCTAATATATCCACATATTTGAAGTCTTTCACCCCAGGACCATTCATGACAATCTTTTCTGCCCTCTGTCTAATGCTACCTAAAGTTTGATGTCCAGAATTGGACAGAATATTATAGTTGAGACTGAACCAGAAGTTGAGACAGGTTCATTATATCTTCCTTGCTTTTGTTCTCTATATCCCTGTTTATAAGATCCAGGATTCCTTTAGAACTGCTTTCTCAACCCGCCCTGCCACCTTAAATGACATGTGTATATGGACCCCTCTTTCTCTGTTCCTGCACCTTTTTATAAATACAGGCTTTATTTGACATTGTCTTGTTCCTTCCTTTTTCCTACCAAAATGTATCACTTCATACTTCTCAATATTAAACTTAATCTGACCATTCCGTTAGCTTGCTTCTGTCCATTTGCATTTAATAAGATTCTCCTCATAGCTCACAATATGTTCACATTTTGTGTCATCTGCAAGCTTTGAAATTATGCCCTGTACATTCACTGTAGTCATGGAATATAAGTTAAGAAGAACAGTGGTTCTGGCACAGACTGGGGAAGTCCACTTCTCTCAGTCTGATAAATTTCACTACTATAATAATAAAACAAAATACTGCAGATGCTGGAAATGTGAAACAGAAGCAGAAATTGCTGGAGAAATTCAGCAGGTCTGGTATCATCTGTGGAGACAAAGCAGAATGAATACTTTGACACTTCTTCAGATTGATGGTAGCTAAATACTGGAGACAGGGGGGATATGGGGTAAAGAGTATGAAATAGGTGCATTAGGAAGGGTCCCCATTATCAGCTTTTCTTTCTTCCTTACCATTATCCATGCCTTTGTCTTTTTTCTCATGGGCTTCTTCTCAGAATATTCTCCTTCCTGTACCCCACCTCCAACCTGTCGTCAGCATATATACCACCATTCCCTAGCTACCGTCTGTTGTGAAGAAGCATCACTGGACACAGAATGTTAACTCTGTTTCTCTGTCCATGGAGGCTGCCAGACTTGCTGAGTTTCTCCAACAATTTCTGCTTATGTTTCATTACTATTCTCTGCTTCCTGATCCTGGGCCACCATCACATTTCATGTTGCCCCTGTTTGTTTTGCATTTTTCTCATGGGCCTGTTCAGGGATGTTATTACTGGTACAGAGGTAGGGACACTACCTCCGCACCACAAGAGACCTCCACCAATTGTCTTTTTTATCCCATGAGCTGGCAAGCCAATTACGTGGCTATCATTAACACATTTCTGTTTGCCCGAGTTTGCTGAGCTCAAATTGCCTACCACACATACTAAAACAATCATTATACTTCAAATCCGGTGATCAGAACTTTATTTTTGAAGAAAAGCCTCTCCCTTGTAAATTGTTCCTTTAATTAGAAACACGGCCGATTTGGTGGCGGTTAAAAAGGAACTCTTACTTCAAAAGTCCGTGACTAGATGTAACGTGCTTTGGGGGCAGCCTGCGAAAGGCGCTATACAAATGCAAGTCTTCCTTTTTTTCCCCCGTTTCTTCGTGTGTTCCCCCCCGCCGCCTGAGCGAGGCTGGAGATGTGATTCAATTCAAGATGTGATTCAAAGGCAGTACAGACAAATTGTTATCGTTGCTGGCTGATCAGCCCCGTCTCCGTGCCTTTCTGACCTATTCCTCATCGCTCGGATGTGTCAATGGCTCCCTGTGCTTGGTTGTAGCCCCGCCTGGCGGCTGTTTTGGAGCCCTTAGACCCGCCCCTGCTTGCACACACACTCCGTCCCGGTTCGCTGGTTAATACCGTGCCTCGCATGGTCCGGCTCCGCTAGCGCCCGCGGTCCCTCTCCCCCTTCCCGGGGGCTGGAGCAGCGGCGGCAGCATGTCCCGGGACGGCTTCGGCATCCTCAGTACCCGGCAGCTGAGGGATGTGTTGGAGGACGAAGAGAAGTTGTGCAGGATGGTGCAGCTGAGCCCGCAGGTAGGACACACACACACGGCCACCAGCACCAGGCACATTGTCTTCAATCGCTGTAGGAACCCCCACCCGCAGACAGCGCAGGTCCCAGCTCGTTAATTTCACACTGTAATTGAAGCCCCCGCCTGTGCACAGGGTCGCTGTGAAATTAAACAAGCAGGCACTTGCAAATCCAGGGACATGAAATTGACGACCCGGCGATCTTCGCCCTGCTCTAGAGACAGGGGGATTCCTGAAAAGCTCTGATAAAGAGGGATGCTGGAGGTATCTCTAGTGAAGCCAGGACAGTGCAGACGGGGTTTGGAACTGGATAGGATCAGCCGTTGTTTGGAACAATAGAGGAGGGCAGTGCTCTCGTCACTCATGTGCCGGCCACGACCCCAACTCCCATTACTCCCACCATCGAACCCTGCGGAGGTGAAGGGAGGACAAGGTCAGTGGATGCCCCGTTCTGAATGCACCGAATTCCTGACTGCACCTGTCGAATACGCTGCTCCCCAGACCCCAATCCAGGACGTCAGCCAACGACATAAACCAGTGTTTAGGGCTTTGTAGCTTAAAATGACCAGGCACAATATTAACTTGTTAACTTCGAAGTTGTTTCAGTAATCGCTCTAAGGAGCAACAAAGGGGATGTTAAAGATCTCAGAAGCACCTTGCCCATGAGGATTTCCTATGTCCGCATTTAGAATGGGAATTCCCATGTAAACTGGCCGTGCTGTAATTATACCCTGCTGTCAGTTGAGGTGCTGTAGTGACCGCACGACTGTAAAACGGAGGAGCAGAAGTAGGCCATTCAGCCCATCGAGTCTGGTCTGCGATTCAATGAGATCAGTCGTGGTTGATCTGATAATCCTCAACTCCACTTTCCTGCGTAATCCCCGTTATTCCTCACTGATTAAAAATCTATCTCAGTTTTGAATATACTTAATGACCCAACCTCAACAGCCCCCTCTTTTTTGTAAAGAATTGCACAGATTAGCTACCGTTTGAGAGAAAGAAGACCTCTTTGTCTTAAATGTGCGACCCTTATTCTGACATTATGCCCTCTGGTCCTAGAAACTCCACAAGGGTAAACATGCTGTCTTTGTCAACCCCATCAGGCCCCATGAGAATCGCAATGTTTCGATAAGGTTACCTCCCATTCTTCTAAATTTCAATGAATACAAACTCAACATACTCAAACTCTCCTCCTAAGAAAATCCCTCCATACAGAGAATTGACCTAGTGAGCATTCTCTAGACTGCTTCCAATGACCGTACATCTTTCTTTAAATAAGAGGACCACAGCATCCCAGGTATGGTCTGACTAGTGCCTTGTATAATTTAGCAGGAATTCCCTATTTTTATACTCCATTCCCTTTACCCCTAATAAAGGCCAACAGTCCATTTGCCTTCCCCATTACCTGCTGAACTTGGATGCTAGTTTTTTTTGTGACTCAAAAACTGCCTTAACTTGGTGCTGAGCTGCCACACAGTCTGAGAGATAAAATATTCCTGCATAAAATTCAAAACAAAATCAGACACTTCTGTCATACCTGCCACTAGTTAGCCTCAGGAGTTCACAAGCAGCTAAAATTAACTATCTATAACGTTTTATCACAAGTGGTGGAGATTTTTTTTATGCACACCTCCAGAAGATTGTGTCATTAGAGGTTGGATGTTTGGTGCATGTATTCAGAGTTGATGAGTCCAGTAGTTTTTTTTTTCCATCATTCTTTTATATGTTCAACACCTAGTAAAAAGGAGAAGGCTGTACAAGCAGTTATGTGCCAACCATGCTTCATGCCAGTGTCACAGAAGATCCACTCACATATAATTTTAAAAGAGCCAATCCAGCCTCAAAGTAATGAGGAATAAAGTAAAATTAATTAACGGGAAACATTGCTGAGGAAAGTTCAAGATGTTTAAAACTGAGATTGAGTCTGTAGGATGGACATACACCGAAGAAAAATAAATACAAATGAAACACGTGTCCAAATTTGTCAAACAGGAAAATCACAGCTCAAAGATTCTTATTAACGGAGACCAACTGAGATTTTCCAGTCGATCTCCAAGTCTCCACAGACAGAAGGGGCCAGTTTAGCTGCTTGAAGATGACTCCTGGCATCAGACTAAGGGGGCCAGCATGCCAAGCAGCTTCAATACTGCCCCTTGCTGCCAACCTGAACACTGGCTGTTGCTTGGCTGTAAAAGGGCTGTACCAACTCTTCCCAGAGTGGTGGCCTGTCTACAAAACCCATGCCTTTCTTGAAAAAGTTGGAAAGAGATGTCTCCCTTACTTAAGTCTATCACAGTCTGCTGAAACGTTCCTGATTGGCCTTCTCTGATTGTTCCTCTAGCTTTGACAGTCCAACCCTATCCTCATTTGGACTATCCTTTGACCCAGAGACAACTGAGAACATAACTGTTTCTCACACAGTGTGTGCTTCTGGCCTAATTCAGATGGCCTAGTTCAGAAGCCATAGAAAAAATCCTGTCTTTGGTACAATGAAGGAGTCTTTGGGCACTGTGAGGGGAGGGTGCGTGGACCAAACGAATGGATATAATTGTGATGCCTCATGGTCACATAAGCTGCTGGCACCCGCTGTCTATGTCAGTTTATTGGAGGCTATCAGTACTCATGCAACCAATCATGAGTCAGTAGGTTAGAGTTTCCTTCACAATCTTAACCTAAATTGAGTAAGAGAATGGTAAGAAAATGGTTTGTTATAGCCTATTACTGTCACCTATGCTGTCCTAATGGGGTGGCATTCCTGCTGCATGGGCAAGTGATCCTATTATCCTCCTGCTTGCTCCCTTACCAAAGCTCCCAGATCTACCTGGTGCAAGGTGTTGAGACACCCATGGTCACCATCATATTTTTTTTTTAAATTTGTTTGTTGAGGTTAAGGGCCTTTTCATACAAATAGGCATCAGTACTTAGAACCAAAGACCTCGTCTAAGCTATAATAGAATTTCTACCTTTGGTGGTCTTTGGACTCTATGTACAGAAGCAAAGTTCCTTTAATGCTGCAATCCTACATGATTTCTCCCACTTAGCAGCAGAAACCACACCAGGTAGACATGTAGCCCTAAGGGTGAAATTCCATGCAATATCTTAACGCAGAGAAAAATGTTTCCCTCCCTCCAAGTTTATACTTGCCTTGAGTTCATGTTTTAGAGATGTAAGGTTAGCTCTTTCCTGTTTGTGTGTAATGAGCCATTAGAAGTGCTGCATTCATGTCAACAATTAATGGATTGATTTTTCTGGTAGACAATAACCAGCGATTAATAATTAACTGGAATAATTAATCATGATAAATCTGTGGCTTTAGTACACACAGAGAGCTGAATAAACATACCTGTGTTATAAACAGAGATAACAAGGTGTAGAGCTGGATGAACACAGCAGGCCAAGCAGCATCAGAGGAGCAGGAAGGCTGACGTTTCGGGCCTAGACCCTTCTAGACC